TTTTGGAAAACATTGAGTAGTATAGGTACTAGTTCCTCTTTAAAGGTTTGGTAGAATTCTGATGTGAAGCCATCTGGTCCTGGGCTTTTCTTTTTAGGGAAATTTTGTATAGTTGATGCTGTTTCAGAAATTGTATAGGTCTGTTCAACATTTCCACTTCATTCTGGCTAAGTCTTGGAAGGTGGTTTGCCTCCAAGTATTGGTCAGTTTCCTTGAGATTTTCATATTTCTGAGAATAAGGTTTCTTGTAATATTCATTAAGGATTTTTTGAATTTCTGAGAAGTCTGTTGTTATTTCGTCTTTACCATTTCTGATTGATGAAATTAGATATTTTACTCTTTTTTTCCTGTTTAGGTTAGCCAAAGGTTTATCTATTTTATTGACCTTTTCAAAAAACCAACTTTTTGATTTATTGATCTGTTGTATGATCCTTTTGTTTTCAATTTCATTCAATTCTGCTCTAATTTTGGTTATTTCTTTTCTCCTTCTGGGTTTTGCATTGGAATGTTCTTCCTTTTCCAGTTGCTTAAAATGTCCCATTAAGTTGTTAACTTCCTCTCTTTCTGTTCTCTTGAGGAAGACCTGCAATACTATAAATTTCCCTCTTAGGACTGCCTTTCTCGTATCCCAGAGGTTCTGATAATTCATGTCTTCATTATCATTTTGTTTCAAAAATTTGGTCCTTCTTAATCTTGTCTATGACACCTGTCATTCAGCATAAGGTTATTTAGCTTCCATGTTTTTGTATGAGTATGCAGATTCCTGCTGTTACTGAGTTCAACTTTTATTCCATAATGGTCCAAGAAGATGCAGGGAATAATTTCTATTCTTTAAATTTGCTGAGGTTAGACTTGTGACCTAAGATGTGGTAATTTTGGAGTATGTTCTGATACTCCAAAACATCAGAGGGCTGATAAGAAGAATGTGTATTCAGTTTTGTTAGGATGAAATGTTCTATAGATGTCTGTTAAATCCAAATGTTGAATGGTTAAGTTTAAGTCTAAAATTTCTTTGCTTAGCTTCTTATTAGAGGATTTATCCAACACTGCCAAAGGAGTGTTAAAATCTCTGACTATTATGGAGCTGGAGGAAATCAAGTTGCTCATGTCTGTTAGAGGCTCTCTTATAAATTGAGGTGCATTCTGGTTGGGTGCATAAATGTTAATAATTGAAATCTCATCATGTTGAGTGCTACCCTTAACAAATATGAAGTGATCATCATTATCTTTCCTCACTTTTGTTGGTTTAAAGCCTATTGTATCTGCAAATAAAATTGCAACACCTGCTTTTTCTGATTTCCATTTGCCTGAATTATAGATGACCATCCCTTCACCCTGAGTCTATATTTATCTTTTAAGGTAAGATGAGATTCTTGTATGAAGCAGATATGTGGCCTGAGTTTTTGTATTTAGTCAGCCAACCTGTGCTGTCTCTAAAGAGGACAATTTAAGCCATTCACAACAACTAGGAAAGGAAAATCAAACCTTCCCACAACCACACACCCAGGGTACTACTTTGGATAGTCCTTGGGTGATTGGTCCAATCTGAGAGGTCCCAATCAATTGTCCCAGTCAGCACCCAGTCTCAAATGGGATAGTTCAAAAGATCTCTGGCAACTAGATAGCAGGGGTCTGCTAGCAGCTCAAGTATGACTCGTTGTGGTGGTCCGTAGAGTCAGAAGGACCCCCCACCCACCCAGCAAATGAATTAGTCTGAGAAGGTTGATGCCTCCTTCCCCACTTTGCACCTCTGTCATACCCAGTCACTGATAACCCCACAGGACTGTGACCCAGTTCCCTCCAATGAGCAGATGCTCCTCCAGGGAGTTGCACCTGCCTGAATCTCAGGGAGATCTATGTCTCCTCTGGCAGGCCTCTGTACTCTGCCACCATCCGGCAAGGGCAGCTGAGGCCTGATAACCTCAGGTGGTAAATGGAAGCTGGGGCAGTTCACTCATTCCAGCCCTGCCCCTGATTGATGTTGCTGACACTTATATTTTCG